ATGGAATGTATACTTTATCATTTGCTTTTTTGTTCGATTTCCGTTTCTAATTATCTTTGTCACACTCCCCTCACTCAAAAGAAAATAATCTGACCCATTATATTTCTAATATTGAAGTCTCCATTTCTCCCAGATTTCTACATTTCTACAAATTACAGAAGAAAATGTTGAAACTTTCAGAACTTCATAAGGTATTTTAAGCAATGCCACAGCTCATTAACACTGAATAAGAGTCCTTAAAACAGGTCATTTCCAAAGAAAATTAAACAGCAATGACAGAAGCAGAAAAACACTAGAAGGCATTTGGGTTTTGTTTACCACAGACTTATTTCTTGGGAAATGGGAGGAAAAAGAAGAGGCGGTTTTCCTAAATTTAGGATCTAGGCAGCAGTCTCACAAGCTGACTGACGCACGAGCCGCGTCTGATTTCTGCACCTTGGGGGTCATGATATTTGCAGACTGTGAGCACCATTCCTCGGGCCTCATTCCTCCTTCCCTGGGATCACAGCTTAGTGGCAGCTGGAACATTAAATTCTGAATGCTAGCTCCAGGGCACCAGACCAGACACATGCTGACTTTTGCAAACCTGGTTTTCTATAGACACACCAAAATGTAGTAAAAGAGAAGAACATTGGGGTCATTCCCCACCACACACTAGTTGTATGATTTAATGTAAGTACCTTAACTTCTCTGAGCATCTGAAATAGGAATAACGATTCTTAGTTTACACAGTGGATGTAAGGAAGTCAGCAGATACTAAAAACATCTAACAAAGTGCTCATTCTATGGCAGGTCTTTAACAAATTCCAGGTGCCCTTCTTCACTCTGTCAGGAAGACTGGCCTCTGAAATGAACAGTCTGCCCAGCCAGAAGAGAATGGCTTGACCTTGTTCTTGACTCTAAGTTTGGCATGCGGAACAAATGGCTCCTCAGAACCATGCAAAGGAGAAAATGTTCCTGCCTTGTCTCAACTCAAATTGGGTTTATGAACAGAAAATAATAATTTATCCGGGGCCACCCATCTAGGAGCAAAGTACCAGTTTGTTTCCTGTCTGAGTGAGGACGCTTGACTGCAAGCAATAGAAAGGAATTCTGGTTCATGTAAGTAGAAAAGGAATGTATTAGTGAGACTTGAGATGATTCACAGAACTGAAAGGAAGGTGGGAAACCAGGCTTGGGGAATGTCAGGAAGAGATCTGGGCAACAGGAACCAGCACTGAAATTGTGCCCCATGATGCCCTTGGTGGTGCCCCCCTCCTGCTGTCAAGGAACATCATCGTCAAAGGGCACGTGGCACTACCCAGCCCTCAATGACGCCTTCTCCAGATCCCGCTGCTTGATCCCTGGTGCTGTTGCCATGAATAATGTCTAATGAGTCTTGAATTTTTTGATACAGTCCCTTGAGATTCAGGTTTCCTGCTTGTAAAAATGGTGAACGTCAGCTACACTGCCTCAGCGGCTTTTACAGCAACAATTACCCAGGTTCTGCAGTACAGGTTTGAAGGAGACCTCTTTGGATAAAGAGAAAACTTCAGTCACTGCTGTCTTGTCTAGAAAGGAAAGTCACCTACTTAAGTAATCAGCTCTATCAGATTTTCTCCAACTGGAACAACCATTTCTCTTTCCAGGAATGACCCCAAGTCCAGACAGGATGAGCTGGTGAAGCATCTCCCTGTTACCAGAGTCAGTGGTTCTCAAATCTGGGTAGGTAGCAGAGCACCTGGATGTCGACTTGTTGAATAGATAGAATGCTTCAGGGTAGACACAACATCTGTTTAGTTCAAAACAGTACCCTCAGTGTCTAAATAGTGCTTAGCAAAGAGTTGTTGAATAATACACTGAACTTGAAATGCAATATATTTTGCATTAGATAATATTGTATAATATTTACATTAACAAGTGCAACCCATGGTAGTGTTAGGTAGAAAGACAGACAGGAGCAGCTGGGGAAGGGGAACAAAAGGTTCAAGGCAAAAACTGCCCAGGAGGGGTCCCACTTGAGGAGAACAGAGGCTTTGCAGGGAGATAACTTCTTTGTCTATCCGGACCAGGCCAAACCGGTCCCAACCAGATCACAATGTAGGTGCAATCAAACAAAACTAGGAGCTGTCTAAATGATGCACATCTCATCATAATCTCATTAAAGTACAATTGTGGGTTTGCCCCCCCACAATTTTTCTGTGTGCATTTTGGAAAAAGATGTGTGCATCAAGAGGAAAGGGTGTAGAACTAGAGCTGTCAATCAAAGAGGCACCTCCTGGCTAGGACATGATAAATAGACTCGCCCCTAAAAGACGGGAGCCTTTGTCTACCCTGACTCTGGCCATTCCTCCCTTGGAGTGTAGTAAATAAAACTTTCTGCTTTGCTTTGCCATTGCATCTCTGCTTTTCAGTTTTCTGTTTTGGTGGGGACAAGAAGCAAGGCAAATGACCTCATCCCACAAGAATAGGTATTCAAAATGCAATTTTAATTTTATCTTCCAATGTTCCTCTAACATTTATTTCCTGTAAGAATTTTTTTCCTGCTCTATTGGAAAAAATCTCTGGCAGACTCATTGACTATCCTGGTTACTCTTAACTTTAAACTTTAAGTTGCAAAACAGGATCTTGGTTCATGATCTTGGATCTTAGAACATCCAGTCCGATATATTAATCAGTACTTCAGACTTTATTTAAAGCAAGACATTCCACCTCAACAAGGCCAGTAATACCCACTGGGGAGGAGAATGCATGGGCAGGATCATGAGAGAGCAATAAGGAAAAGAGAGCATGGCCTTCAGTGGTGGCTGGTTCCAGATATCCCATATCCTGGGTAGAAAAGGAGGTGTAGCTTTTCAGGTGTTGACCCACCTTCAGTTAATTGTTTCTGCCTTCAGAAATGCCGTTCTGCTTCTCGGTGATGAAGGGTTTTAAGGGTCAACTCAATTAAAAGGCAGGCCAACTAGAGAGTGGCCTTGGACACCATCCAATTCCTTAGTCCAAAACCTGTTTTTTTTTCTTCACTTTGGAAATATGCTGGAAGTTAATTCAGGTTTTCAGTTACAACTCCTTATTAAGCTAGTGAAATAAAAAGTTATTCCTGCTCGTACCAACGTAGACAGGGACCTCAAGTAGAAGTGAACATGTCTTGCTGGCATACATCAGGGTCGGGCATGAAAAAATCGACTATAAATGGGCAAGAGGAAGACATTTTTCTCAGTTGGTTTCCACTAGCTTTCTGGTCTCTGTTGCAGAGATAGTCTTGAATTCCTCATATGATTTCTGGAGGGTTAGTACAGGAAGTACAGAAATACCTAAATCTATGGGAAACCAGAGGAAACGTTGGCCCTGAATTAGGTGCTTATTCGATCATGTTTCCTGAAAATATACTTCTGTAAATTTGAAATATTTCCAATGGAGCATTGATAATCCCTATAAAAAAAGAACATCCCCGGTTCAAAGACTAAAAGCCAAGAATAAGAATTACTACTACATAAAGCCCAACAAAGAGAGATGGAGAATATTTTCTCCCCCACTTCTAGAATACAAGTTCCTTGCAAGAATTCATAAAGTGCCTTGGGTCATGTGGGGCTGAGATGCTTAGATGGGCGATCCAGTTAGTTACCTCTCCCTCAGCAAGACTCATCCTGACCTTCATTCCCAATCTTTGCTTCCAAAATGGAATTATGATATGCTAAGAATATTATCTATAAGCACATTAAAGATGTACAGAGAGTGCAAAGTTAATATAATGTCAGGAATTAAAATGATCCCAAAATACTGCCAACTACTTACATTCTAAAATAATTCCAATTCCTTATTTTTTGAGGGGTGTACCTGTCAAGTTTCACAACAGCATTTAGCACCAACCAGTTCATAAACTCAGCTGCCCTACTTGCAAACCTGGCACCTGTATTCCAATAGAGAAGGTACTCTGTCTGATGTGGTGCGCCGTCCTCTGTCCTCAGAGCTGGGGGGACGGTGTCCAGCTCTGCATGACTGTCTCATTTGGGGAGTGTCACAGAGAGAGGACAAGATAGAGTCCATGTGATAATTCTTACATCAGAGAATCAATGATGACGTGATCCAGTCACAGCACAAATACCTTAGGCAGAAGATGCAAAACTATGGCACTACCAGAAGCTCAAGGCAATGACACTCGCTCAAACGATGACGCATGTCTGCGGACTCCCTGACTACCTAACACTGCAGGGTAGCTAAGGACCTTTAAGACACTACCTCTCTCTGTCTGTGTAGTTCTTTGATGTCTGCATCCTTCATTGTCTACTTTTTCCCCCACTGTTTCATTAACTGTTGTGCTCCCTAAATTGAGCTCTTGAGAAGAACTTGACCTTCTTTTACGCCATTCTCCCCTGAGAGTCTCATACTACCTGCAGCTTCAGCCTCTCCTATACCAAGGACACTCGAAATTGATATCTTTACGTCCAACCTTCCTCTGAGCCTACTGAACTTTTCCGTTTGAATAATTTACCTTAAACTCAACACACCTGAACCCAGTTTAAATATTTCACCTAATAAAATCCTCCTGTCTCCTCATGTTCATCACTAGCTCTATTCTCCCAGTCAGCCAGTCTAAACTTTTGGCATCTTCAACAATGCCCTCCCCACAATCATTAATCTGGATTCTAAAAATGTCTTTCTCCTATGTACTTTTTCTATCAACTGTGAGTCCAACACCAGGACAGGCCCTTCTGAGCTCATTCCTAAATGAATGCAGTAGCCACCCAGCACTCTGAGTCTACCCACCTTCAGCTCGGCTTGCCTGTAACTGTCTGACAACATTCCTGGTAACATTCAAGGGTGTGAGGTCCTGCCCTGAAGGAAAAATGTTCAATAATACTCCCTTGGATAGGGCATAAGTTCATCTTAGACCAAAATTTAAACCTGCTACAATCTGTCCCCAGATTACATTTCCAGAACAACTCCACTTTACACTTTCAAAAGAACCCATCATTGGCTGATTACCTAAGAAGCACCTGAGGTATACACGTATTTTTCCTTTTTCTCAGATGGTGGTCTTTCCCTCTTACTCTCCCAAAGGAAGCAAAGAACAATTATCAATGGCAAATGGCAGTTGTAGAAGCGACATCAACAACTCACGTCATGCGCAGGAGAGAACGTTGTGCCTTCTCCTCATCATGGCATGTTAATGGCTTAACTTAGTAAACAGTAACACGGAAGACAGAAAATCGAAAATGACGATAACTACAACAATTAATGGATACAAAATATAAAAAGATGCAAATTGAGCAATCAGGTAAGAAAAAGAAATGGCATTCAGATTGTAAAAGAAGTAGAATTGTCCCTGTTTGCAGATGACATGGTGTCAAGTATAGAAAATACAGATGATGCTATGTGTAGAAAACCATAGAGATTCCACCAAAAAGAGTATTAGAATTAATAAATAAATTCAGTATAATTGCAAGCTTTAAAACCAACATACAAAAATGAGTTGCATTTCTATACAATAACAATGAACTATCTGAAAAAGAAATAAAGGAAATAATCCCATGTACAAGAGCATCAAAAACAATAAGATACTTGGGAATAAATTGAACCAAGGAGATGAAAGATCTATATGCTCAAAACTGTAAGACATTAATGAAAGAAATTGAAGAAAACACAAATTGAAAGGAAAGACCCTATGTTCATGGATTAGAAGAGTTAATATTGTTAAAATGTCCCTACTACTCAGAGAAATCTACACATTCAAAGCAATCCCTATTAAAATTCCAAAGGCATTTTCCACAGAACTAGAGAATATAATCTTAAAATCACATGGAACCACAAAGCCTCCAAAGAGCCAAAGCAATCCTGAGAAAGAAGAACAAAGCTGGAGGCACCACACTTCCTATTTTCAAACTATACTACAAAGCTACAGTAAACAAAACAGTATGGTGGAGGCAGAGCCAAGATGGCAGTGTGAGTAGAGCAGTGGAAATCTCCTCCCAAAACCACATATATCTATGAAAATATAACAAAGACAACTCTTCCTAAAATAGAGACCAGAGGACACAGGACAACATCCAGACCACATCCACATCTGCGAGAACCCAGTGCCTCACGAAGGGGGTTAAGATACAAGCCCCGGCCCGGCGGGACCCGAGCACCCCTCCCCCCAGCTCCCAGCGGGTGGAGAGAAGTCAGCAGGGAGGGGGAGGGAGCCCAGGACTGCTGAGCACCCAGCCCCAGCCATCTGGACCAGAGCACAGACACGGTGCATGCGCGGGGTCCTGGATACTAGGGAAACAGGGCAGCAGGACCGGTGAGCGGGTGCCTGAGGCCGACGCCGGAGAACAAAGAAACGGGAGTGGCCATTTTCTTTTTTTTCCTCCTTTTTTTTTGGCGAGTGCTTTTTGGAAGTCTTAAAGGGACAGGAACCCCAATACTAGGTAAACAGGGCAGCACGACCGGTGAGCGGTCTCTGAGGCCGGTGCCTGAGGACAAAGAAAATCGTGCATTTTTCTTTTTTTTTCTTTTTTTTAAAAAAATTATTTATTTAATTTTTTTGTTTGTTTTGTTTTGTTGTTGTTGTTTTGGTTTGGTGAGTGGTTTTTGGAAGTCTTAAAGGGGCAGGGCAGGACACTTAGTCCAGAAGCAGGGAATCTGGGGATCTCTGGGCACTCTAACCCGCTGGGCAACAGGGAGCACAGAGGCCCCTTA